TTCCTGCCCCGTTCCTGCCCCGTTCCTGCCCCGTTCCTGCCCCGTTCCTGCCCCGTTCCTGCCCCGTTCCTGCCCCGTTCGCTCTGCGCTGGCTCCGGGTGGGCTTGTCGCCATCTCTGCAGCGCTCCTGCCTTTTAGCCGTGCTAAGGCTGTACCTTTGCAGCCTGGCTGAGCTCCAGCCCATGTGATTATGTCGCTGCTTAATTCAAAACCCTGCCTGTGCTTTCGGCAGGGCTCCCTAAGCCTCACCCTGTGCCGGAGAGGGGCTGCCGTGGGGATGGGGCAGGAGGCAGCGGAGGGGATCACCCACCCTTGCCGGGGCGGTGCTGCGCTCGGTGCAGCTTGAGTCGGCAGCTTCAGGCTGGTGGGGACAACCTGGGCTTGATAGTTTAATAAGCCTTTTCCATCTTTAAGATGAATTAACATCTGTGGCATGTTTTGGAGCTGTAGAGTGCTGTATAAGTGCTAAGTGGTGCATGATCCTCTGGTGCTAAATCATTCTAATGTGCTATTCAAGGTGCAGCAGCTCTGATTAATTTAAAAGCCTTATTTATGGCTTGCCGGGCTGGTGTAGCGGGGCCGGCCCTGGCAGGGGGCAGTTGCGCCTACCCTTTGTGGGGCAGGCGTGAGCCGGGGCAGGAGGGAGGTTTTCCTTGGCTTCTCCCACGCCGGGTGCGTTCGGTGCTCGACAAACCCTTCCAGAGTCCCTGTTTTGTATCTCATGTGGTTCTTCACTTGTGGCAGGCAATCCCTGATGCCTGGGACCTTCTTCTGATGTCTGTCCATCTCCCTCCTCCACAGATCCCCCAGATCAGCTATGCCTCCACCGCGCCGGACCTGAGTGACAACAGCCGCTATGACTTCTTCTCCCGGGTCGTCCCCTCTGACACCTACCAGGCCCAAGCCATGGTGGACATCGTCAAAGCCCTCAAGTGGAACTATGTCTCCACCTTGGCCTCTGAGGGTAGCTACGGCGAGAGCGGCGTGGAGGCCTTCATCCAGAAGTCCAGGGAGGATGGTGAGCAGGTTCCTTGCCAGGATGGTGGGGTTGGGGGTGCCCAAGACTGGAGGGGGAAATGCAGCTGGGTCTCTTGCAGCTTGTCCAGGGCTGGTGGGGATGGAGAGCGACATGTGGCCAGGCGCACCGGCAGGAGCTGGGCATGGGTTGGGGTGTGTGGCTGGGTTTTTCTGGCCGAAAGCTGGTGTATGCCATGTGTTACAGGTGATGTGACCTTTTTGGGTTACGTGCTGCCCATGCACGAGGGTCCAGTGCTGCCTGGATTTGCATCCTGTGCAGCCCTGTTAGTGTGGGCTAAATCAGCAGGTAGCTTGGCCGGGTGTCTCCAGGCGCCGGTCCTGCGGCCGCCGGGTGGAGGGCGATGGGGAGTTCTCCGGCTTTGATCAAGGCCAGCGATCCAAAGCTGCCTCTGGTCCGCGGGGTCGGCCGGGTGGTTGCTGCTGGTCGCTATCTGAAAGCGTTTTGAAATCCTGCTCCCTGCTTGCAAGGAGGCTTCGAATACACTGGGTTGACAGCTGGAGCCTGCCTAACCCTCTCCCTTTGCAGCGCGGAGCTGGGCGCGTTCCAGCAGACAAGACTCTTACTCCCAGGTTTTAACAGAAAATCAAGTTGGCACCAGCACGCGGTTCACCCAATTTTAGCAGAATTATCCCTGCGGGCAGGTGCTTTAACTTGTCTATAGACTTTGGACAGGCTGAAAGTCTGCGCTCAGCAAAACCTTTTGCGAGGATTTGTCCGGAGCCAGCCCGCGTTTCGCTGACGGGAGCGCGCGGGCGCTTAGGAGGGATTAGCGGCGCCGGGTGCCCTGGCGCAGCAGGATGCGCTGCGCCCCGGTGGGGCTCGCGGGCCCCGGG